CTGCAGATCCCGAGAGTGTACAGAGATCCTTTAGTGCACGTATAAGTTCTGTCAAGCACCTTAACTACTGGGAAGGCTTGGAAGCACTTGACTTGTACTCGTTGGAACGCAGGAGGGAGAGATGTATCATAATCTACACTTGGAAAATCTTGGAAGGAATGGTCCCAAATCTGCACACAGAAATCACTCCCTACGAAAATAAAAGACTGGGTAGGCGATGCAAAATGCCCCCAATTAAAAGTAGGGGCGCCATTGGTACACTAAGGGAAAACACCATAAGTGTCCGGGGCCCAAGACTGTTCAACAGCCTCCCACCAAGCATAAGGGGAATTACCAATGAACCCCTGACTGCCTTCAAGAGAGAGCTGGATACCTAAAGTCAGTGCCGGATCAGCCGGGCTGTGGCTCGTACGTTGGACTGCGTGCGGCCAGCAGTAACAGCCTAGTTGATCAGGCCCTGATCCACCGGGAGGCCTGGTCATGGACCGGGCCGCGGGGGCGTTGATCCCCGGAATAACCTCCAGGTCATTGTCATTTTTGTTTGTAATTGAAAATTTTTGTAATTGTTGCACCGCCATTGTCAACACCATTTTCTGGAGGACATTTTGAGCTCGAAATTGAGACTTAGAGTTTGTACCTCGGTATGAACAGATATACAGTAGAGTGTAAATTTGGGACAGGAGTAAATTTTGTGGTTGTCTTATAATATGTCTTAGTCTCCAGCTTCATTAATGTAGTCTGGGCTCTTTTCTTTTCAGAAAAGTTTTCTACGGACTTCTGGCAACCATCCATATGTGGTGTTGCCCTCCGACTCTCGTCAGTGCTACAACAGCTGTTGTTCTGTAAGGCTATTCCTGCAAGCGTGTTCTGTGAGTGAATGTGGTTTCGCCAAATTCTCCCCTTCGGCGTGCAAGTATTGTACCTCTTAGAAAAAATGCTGATTTGAGTATCAGAAAAAATGCTGATTTGAGTATCAGACTGATCACCGAAAATTTGAGCCTAACAAAGTTAACTGTTGGTGGGAGTCTGAAGAGAACTGACGACTCTGGTGAGTATGGATCGCTGTGTCGAGGAAGATGTGGAAGAAAACGCGAGACAACACCTCACTATGACAAGGTTATCATAAGAAAGTGTGAAGGATCCCAAGAAAACAAGCAAAGATCTATAGAGAGATTTGTCTTCAGCTGGAGTAAATGTTGATTCTTCAACTGTTCAACGAAGGCTCCTTGAAGTTAGCAGGACTGCCAGAAAGCCGATAAAGAAACAATTAGTGACTTTTGCTATGAAGAAAAAACGGTTGCGATGGGCATTCGATCCTAAGGGAAGGATGACAGATGAATGGAGAAAAATTATATTTTCAGATGATGTGTATTTTGAAGTATATAAGTACAGATCAATGGTAGCGAGACACAGAGCAAAGGCGAATCTCTTAGGAATGGACACATTCAACAAACACCAAAACATTCATTTAAGATATTTTGGGGTAGTTTTACTGTATAGACTTTCCTGATGGAGAAGGTATTTTCCAGCAGGATCTTGCTCCATGCCACACTTCCAGAAAAATACCGACATTCTTCAACGAAAGTCTGCTAAGCTTTCTAAACTGACCTGGAAACTCTCCTGACTCCAGCCCAACTGAGGTTACGGGCAATAACCAAACGCAGGATCGCAAAACAGAACATGCCAAAACGTGTTCAACATTGATGGATTCTATACCAAAGTGTGTAGCAATGTTTATAAAACCAAAGGATAGTAATATCTCTTATATCAGTTATATCAGTTATCTGTGACATCATTACCTTGTATTTTTCAAATAAATATTAATTTTCCAAGTGTCTTATTTCATCACTGCCCCAATTAATATGAACACTACTGTATTTTGCTGGGAAAGAATACACAAATTTAGTATAACGCGATCGCATTATACAGTAAAGTTCAATGCGATCGTGTAATTTGTTCTTGGGAGTTAAGAACTGAGTGAGGGACGGGAGATGGAAGAAGAAAGGAGGGGAAGCAAGGATGAGAAGAGAGGAAGACGGAAAGGGGAAATAGTGATTGAGGGGAGTGAATGGAGGAATGGATTAGATGAGAGGAAGAGAGGGAAGTGAACTTGACTCAAGAAATCGTAATGACACGATTGCAAACAAACCATACCCCCGGCCGGGATTGAACCCGCGGTCATAGTCTCAAAACTCCAGCCCGTCGCGTTAGCCACTAGACCAGCTAGCCACAATAAGATTCATCCAACTAGGTATATTTCTACACCATAGGAAGGTTAGCACAGGCACCACTGTGACCACAAATGCAAGTTTTTACAGACGATCTCCAGCTAGCGTGGCCGTGACGAACTCTAGCTCAAGTCCCTTCACTGCCGTCAACATGACTCAATGGTGTAGAAATATACCTAGTTGGATGAATCTTATTGTGGCTAGCTGGTCTAGTGGCTAACGCGACGGGCTGGAGTTTTGAGACTCTATGACCGCGGGTTCAATCCCGGCCGGGGGTATGGTTTTTTAGGGAAGTGAAATAAGAACAGGGAATCGAGATGAAGGATAAAGGGGATAAATGAGAGGGTGGGATAGGAAGGAGAAAGGAAGGGTGAAGGGAATAGAGGGAAGGTGAGGAGGGGATATCTCTCCCCCCACACGTGCCGAGGGGTATGTTGGGGATAGGGGAGGGGAAGAGGGGGAATAACCCTCCCCCTACACGTGCCAATGAGGGCGTGTTGGGGATTATAATCGCTGCTCTATTTATTACCTCTGTTGGCGGGATTACCGGGATTTATCAGACTGTTGCTGGGATTACTCTGGGGTGGGAGGTAGGGGATAGAACAGACTAAATTCTTTGATTATCATGAGTTGGGGGGAAAGGTTATGTTGTGGGCACCCTGCCACCCCTCACCGCCCCCTCTCAAACACTACCACCCACCATCCCTTCTCAACACTACCCCCACCCTCCCTCAACCACTACCACCCCACCACCCCCTCAACCACTACCACCCCAACCACCCCCTCTCAACCAGTATCACCCCCACCATCCCTTCTCAACCACTACCATCGCAATCACCCCCTCTCAACCACTACCATCCCAACCACCCAATCTCAACACTATCACCCACCACCCCTTCTCAACCACTACCACCCCCTTTAATCACTACCACCCCTACCACCCCTCTCAACCACTACCACCCCTTCTCAACCACTACCACCTCCCTCAACCACTACCACCCCAACCACCCCCTCTCAACCACCCCCCTCTTAAATACTAACCACCCCCTCTCCCCCCTTTGCTTCCTCTTACACCCAAAATCCACCAACACACTTCAAATTCCCTCTTCCCTATCCAGCCACCTATCCTTCCCCTCCATCCCTCCCAACCTATCCCCCCCTCTCACCCAGGTTCCAGGAGGTTGTAATTAAGTGTTCCCCTCAAGGAAGGTTCCTTGATGTTGGTGAGGGGCTCTTGATTTAGGGAATTGGATCTGTGCTCCAGTTCCCCGAATTAAGCCTGAATGCCTTCCACATCCCCCCCCCCCAGGCGCTGTATAATCCTCCGGGTTTAGCGCTTCCCCCTTGATTATAATAATAATAATGTAATTAAGTGTTGTAATGAAGTGTTATTAATAGCGTTATAATTAAGGTTGTGACGCGGTTGCCACCACCAGGTGCAACAACCTCTTCCTAATTACCTGTCCCTAAGTATCTGTCCCTAATTACCTGTCCCTAATTGCCTGCCTCTACCTCTGTCTAATTACTTGTCAGTAATTACCTCTCCTTAATTATCTGCTCCTAGTTACCTGTTCTTAATTACCTGTCTTTAATTACCTGTTTGTTGTGGCCTGTTTGTTATTAAATTTGCGAGGGGAGGAGTTTAATCCCTGTATTGTCACGTACTCCAGGAAGTCCTCTTTGGAATCGGATTGTATCGTATTGTATGGTTGTATTGCATTGTATCTTTTGTTGCATTGTATCGTTTTGTTGTATCGTTGTATTGTTTAGTATCACTGTATCGCTGTATAGTACTATGTCGTTGTATCATTGTAATATGTCGTATCATTGTATTATGTTGTATCATTGCATTATATCATTGTATTGTCGTATCGTTGTATCATTGTATTGTATTTTGTCACTGTATCGGTGTATTGTATCGTTGTATCACTGTAATGTATCGTTGTATTGGCTCGTTGTAATGTACCATTGTATTATATAATTATATCGCATTGCATCACTGTGTTGCATCATTTCACAAATCATTGCACTTCTGCACCAAGATTCTGGGAGAGCAATATAGTGGTACGACTCGTGACGCACAGTACGTCATTCCTCGGAACAAACATGCGCGCCTTATGTCTTCAGACTTGTCTTCAGACTTATATTGTCTTCAGACTTATATTGTCTTCAGACTTATATTGTCTTCAGACTTACTGTCTTCAGACTTAAGTCTTGTGACTTATTAAGGAAGGTGACGGATACTGAGGAAGCTGCCTGGAATCAGAAATTTTGACACAGCCGATGGTAAAATTGTATAATACTTACTATCCAGAGGTTTTCTATCATTATTAATATTGTCCAGAGGTTATTCATTATTGTATAATAATATATCCAGGAGTTATTCATCGTTGTGTTGTGTATAATACACGTGTATATTTTTATGTGTTAGTATTTCTCTTTGGAGTTATAGATGGTGAAGGGCTCTTGATCACAGGAATTGGAGCTTCCCTCTCCCTTCCTTGGATCAAACTTGACTAGCTAAGGTAAATGGTAATGGTCCCTATTCCACAGGTGCTGTACTTACACTCTCTGTTTCTGCCTCCATCACCCCTCCCTCACCTGCCTCCATCACCCCTCCCTCACATGCTTCCATCACCCCTCCCTCACCTGCCTCACCTGCTTCCATCACCCCTCCCTCATCTACCTCCATCACCCCTCCCTCACCTGCCTCCATCACCTGCCGATCGTGCTAACTCTTGCCTTGGCTTACCGTCTCTCTCTTCCCCTCAGATGCATGGCTACGGTGCTGAGATGTGCGCAGCGGCGGACCTCCTGGGGCCGCAGTCCCAGATGCACCCGCAACCGCAGCCGCAGCAGTCGCAGCAGCAGCACCAGCCGCAGCACCAGCCGCACCCCGACTCCAAGTACGACACGGGTCCATTCGACGACTCCGTTCACAGCGACTCCTACGTGTCGTACCTTGAATCGGACGACTCCATGACGGCCCCGCTAAGCACGACCACCAGCCCCTGATGGTTGAGGCCCCGGGTAGTCGTCACAGCGTAGCTAAGTCGTCGTTTTCACCGTCGTTGTCGTCGTCCCCTCCTCTCCCGTCGTTGCTGTCAAATCATCCCATCTCAACTCACCACATGTTCCTCCTGGTGGGAGGTTGAAGCACAAGCCGGGGCCAGGTGGTGGTTGTTGCTGCTGCAAATTGTGGTAGTTGTGGTAGCGGTCGCGGCAGTGACATCATAAAAGCGACGTCAACAGTGGCCCACACACTGTTAAAGAAGCAGTGGTGAGGCCAGTGGTAAACACATCGTGGACTGACTCTCTCTTATACTCCGACTGGAAAAAACACAAGATGATAGATACACGCGCGTCAGGGGTGTACTTCAGTGTTGAGAAAAGCACTGATCATGACAGGTCTTGTTATAGAGACCTGAACTATAGCAGGTCACACAGGGGCTGAAGTGTGAGCTACAGTATGACACGCGGGGGCTGCAGTAGGAACTACAGCAGGTCACACGGGGGCTGCTATGGGAACTAAAACAGATCACGAGGCTGCAGTGTGAACTACAGATCACACGGGAGTTGCTGTAGGAACTATAGCAGGTCACACGGGGGCTGCAGTAGGAACTATAGCAGGTCACACGGGGGCTGCAGTAGGAACTATAGCAGGTCACACGGGGGCTGCAGAAGGGACTATAGCAGGTCACACGGGGGCTGCAGTAGGAACTATAGCAGGTCACACGGGGGCTGCAGTAGGAACTATAGCAGGTCACACGGGGGCTGCAGTAGGAACTATAGCAGGTCACACGGGGGCTGCAGTAGGAACTATAGCAGGTCACACGGGGGCTGCAGTAGGAACTATAGCAGGTCACACGGGGGCTGCAGTAGGAACTATAGCAGGTCACACGGGGGCTGCAGTAGGAACTATAGCAGGTCACACGGGGGCTGCAGTAGGAACTATAGCAGGTCACACGGGGGCTGCAGTAGGAACTATAGCAGGTCACACGGGGGCTGCAGTAGGAACTATAGCAGGTCACACGGGGGCTGCAGTAGGAACTATAGCAGGTCACACGGGGGCTGCAGTAGGAACTATAGCAGGTCACACGGGGGCTGCAGTAGGAACTATAGCAGGTCACACGGGGCGCTGCAGTAGGAACTATAGCAGGTCACACGGGGGCTGCAGTAGGAACTATAGCAGGTCACACGGGGGCTGCAGTAGGAACTATAGCAGGTCACACGGGGGCTGCAGTAGGAACTATAGCAGGTCACACGGGGGCTGCAGTAGGAACTATAGCAGGTCACACGGGGGCTGCAGTAGGAACTATAGCAGGTCACACGGGGGCTGCAGTAGGAACTATAGCAGGTCACACGGGGCGCTGCAGTAGGAACTATAGCAGGTCACACGGGGGCTGCAGAAGGGACTATAGCAGTTCACACGGGGGCTACAGTGTTTGTGTTCCACAGGTCACGTTGAAGAGACTTAAATTTCCAGATGTGAATCTGCTGTGACTTGAACCTCGACCTGATCGACTCTGGAGACAAAAAAAAACGTGTCATCCACTTGTTTTCCAATTGTAAAGAAATGTAACCGAAGATACTTTCCCGACGGAATTTGGCTGGTGTCTAGTTGATTAAAAATTAGAACCTACTCAATTTCCTGTTTAATGTTCCAAATATGCTACACAAGTGCCAGGGAACGTTAACAATGTTCACCATCATTGTGAACACTTCCATGGAGGTTCAGTTCAAGGTGTTTTAAAACTGCATTTCTGTGTTCATAAAAAAAGTGTCCAGATTTTTTTGTATCTATGGTGTGTGGGACACTATAAGTGTGTGTGTGTGTGTGTGTGTGTGTGTGTGTGTGTGTGTGTGTGTGTGTGTGTGTGTGTGTGTGTGTGTGGAGGCCACATGTCCTTAAACCTGATTCTCTCCAAGGGACTGATCCCCCTAGACTCCTATGTTAACTTTAAGCACAAAATATGATCATTATTTGTACTGTGTGAACAATGTTCAACTTTTTAACACGAGATCTACCTAACTATTATTAAAATATTTTTTATGCTATTATAATAATTTTGCAGCAGCTTTAATTGTTGAATTGTGTGATGATTGTAAATGTTGTTTGTGTTCTTAGTTCTTCCATTTCTTCCCTCTTAGTTCTTCCATATCTTCCCTCTTAGTTCTTCCATTTCTTCCCTCTTAGTTCTTCCATATCTTCCCTCTTAGTTCTTCCATTTCTTCCCTCTTAGTTCTTCCATATCTTCCCTCTTAGTTCTTCCATTTCTTCCCTCTTAGTTCTTCCATATCTTCCCTCTTAGTTCTTCCATATCTTCCCTCTTAGTTCTTCCATATCTTCCCTCTTAGTTCTTCCATTTCTTCCCTCTTAGTTCTTCCATATCTTCCCTCTTAGTTCTTCCATATCTTCCCTCTTAGTTCTTCCATATCTTCCCTCTTAGTTCTTCCATTTCTTCCCTCTTAGTTCTTCCATTTCTTCCCTCTTAGTTCTTCCATATCTTCCCTCTTAGTTCTTCCATTTCTTCCCTCTTAGTTCTTCCATTTCTTCCCTCTTAGTTCTTCCATATCTTCCCTCTTAGTTCTTCCATTTCTTCCCTCTTAGTTCTTCCATATCTTCCCTCTTAGTTCTTCCATATCTTCCCTCTTAGTTCTTCCATTTCTTCCCTCTTAGTTCTTCCATTTCTTCCCTCTTAGTTCTTCCATATCTTCCCTCTTAGTTCTTCCATTTTCTTCCCTCTTAGTTCTTCCATATCTTCCCTCTTAGTTCTTCCATTTCTTCCCTCTTAGTTCTTCCATTTCTTCCCTCTTAGTTCTTCCATTTCTTCCCTCTTAGTTCTTCCATTTCTTCCCTCTTAGTTCTTCCATATCTTCCCTCTTAGTTCTTCCATTTCTTCCCTCTTTCTCCTCTTTCTTCCCACTATCTTTACTCCCTTATACAATATCTTTCTTTTCCAATAATTCCAATATTTTTTTTTCACTAACTTCTCCTCTGGTGTTTTATTTTCCTTACTTCGTTTCGTCTGTTCCTCTCACTGGCGAGTTTCACTAACATCTTTCTCCTCCTTATCTTCTCCCTCCTTTCTCTAGCCATTTTTCATCCATTTTTTCCACTATGGTTGTCTTCTTTCGTCCTTATTCCCCTCCTTCCTTTCTTGCATTTCTCTCCTTCCCTTTCTTATTCTCACCGTTCCTTCATTCCTTATTTCCCTCCTACTTTCCTCCCTCTCCGCAGACACGAGCAGTTCATCCTGACGAGTGAAGTGTATGTCAGATCTGTCATTGAAGTGTATGTCAGATCTATCATTGAAGTGTATGTCAGATCTGTCATTGAAGTGTATGTCAGGTCTATCATTGAAGTGTATGTCATGATCTATCATTGAAGTGTAATGTCAGATCTATCATTGGAAGTGTATGTCAGATCTATCATTGAAGTGTATGTCAGATCTGTCATTGAAGTGTATGTCAGATCTATCATTGAAGTGTATGTCAGATCTGTCATTGAAGTGTATGTCAGATCTATCATTGAAGTGTATGTCAGATCTGTCATTGAAGTGTATGTCAGATCTATCATTGAAGTGTATGTCAGGTCTATCATTGAAGTGTATGTCAGATCTATCATTGAAGTGTATGTCAGATCTATCATTGAAGTGTATGTCAGATCTGTCATTGAAGTGTATGTCAGGTCTATCATTGAAGTGTATGTCAGATCTATCATTGAAGTGTATGTCAGATCTATCATTGAAGTGTATGTCAGATCTATCATTGAAGTGTATGTCAGATCTATCATTGAAGTGTATGTCAGATCTATCATTGAAGTGTATGTCAGATCTATCATTGAAGTGTATGTCAGATCTATCATTGAAGTGTATGTCAGATCTGTCATTGAAGTGTATGTCAGATCTGTCATTGAAGTGTATGTCAGATCTATCATTGAAGTGTATGCCAGATCTATCATTGAAGTGTATGCCAGATCTGTCATTGAAGTGTATGTCAGATCTGTCATTGAAGTGTATGTCAGATCTGTCATTGAAGTGTATGTCAGATCTGTCATTGAAGTGTATGTCAGATCTATCATTGAAGTGTATGTCAGATCTGTCATTGAAGTGTATGTCAGATCTATCATTGAAGTGTATGAGATCTATCATTGAAGTGTATGTCAGATCTGTCATTGAAGTGTATGTCAGATCTATCATTGAAGTGTATGTCAGATCTATCATTGAAGTGTATGTCAGATCTATCATTGAAGTGTATGAGATCTATCATTGAAGTGTATGTCAGATCTATCATTGAAGTGTATGTCAGATCTATCATTGAAGTGTATGTGAGAACTATCATTGAAGTGTATGTGAGATCTATCATTGAAGTGTATGTGAGATCTATCATTGAAGTGTATGTGAGATCTATCATTGAAGTGTATGTGAGATCTATCATTGAAGTGTATGTGAGATCTATCATTGAAGTGTATGTGAGATCTATCATTGAGTGTATGTGAGATCTATCATTGAAGTGTATGTGAGATCTATCATTGAAGTGTATGTGAGATCTATCATTGAAGTGTATGTGAGATCTATCATTGAAGTGTATGTGAGATCATCATTGAAGTGTATGTGAGATCTATCATTGAAGTGTATGTGAGATCTATCATTGAAGTGTATATGTGAGATCTATCATTGAAGTGTATGTGAGATCTATCATTGAAGTGTATGTGAGATCTATCGTTGAAGTGTACGAGAGATCTATCACTGAAGTGTTCGAGAGATCTATCATTAAAGTGTTCCATCTACCGCCCACAATTTCAGTACTAACCTACAACACACTTGCAACACGTCGCAACACCCTTGTAGCGGGTGTGTCGCAACACGTCGCAACACCCTTGTAGCGGGTGTGTCGCAACACGTCGCAACACCCTTGTAGCGGGTGTGTCGCAACACGTCGCAACACCCTTGTAGCGGGTGTGTCGTCATGTAGGGTAAGACTCTTGATTCAAAATACTGGAGTTACTCTTCCCTCTTCCTTGGATCAAACCAGGCGCTGCACGACCCTGATGGGTTTAGCGTTCCCACCCTCCGCTTCCCCATGATAATTATAGAGGTGTTGAGCGTTGTCTCCTGGGCTCCGTTTAATGCATTTTTTTAGCTGATGGAACATAAGGAGAGCAAGAGGAGACATGATCACAACATACCAAATACTGAGACACGAGGTTTGATTGCTTCCGTGCGAGGACAGTGAAGACGAGGTGTGTCTTAGGAAGGAATCAGGCGCTGTATCACCCACACGGGTTTAGCGCAGGCCAGCTCAATGAATGGATTTCCCCTCTTTCAAGGGGGAAAGACTTGAAACTAGAGTGCTCTTGAGCCAAGGATTTGGAGTCATCTACGTTGTTGGATCAATTTTAATTATTTCTTCAGCGCAGTTACTAAACAACAGCTTTCCCCAGGAACTAGCAAGAATAATACTGAATGACCCTTGTGGTTTAGCGCTTCTTTTTGATTATAACACTAATACTAATAATACCAATAATATCAATCATAAAAAATGTCAATATCAATTATTTTTTATTTATTAACACATCGGCCGTCTCCCACCAAGGCAAGGTGACCCCCAAAAAAAAAAATTAACACCATCATTCACTCCATCACTGTCTCACCAGTAGTGCACTGACACTACAGTTATAAAACTGCAACATTAATAATAATGGTATATATATCTGGAGAGAGTTCCGGGGGTCAACGCCCCCGCGGCCCGGTCTGTGACCAGGCCTCCTTAGGTCAGTGTCCCAGGATGCGACCCACACCAGTCGACTAACACCCAGGTACCCATTTTACTGATGGGGAACATAGACAACAGGTGGAAAGAAACACGTCCAATGTTTCTACCCTGGCTGGGAATCTAACCCAGGCCCTCACCGTGTGAAGCGAGAGCGTTAACCACCAGGCCACCATGGTAGTACATGCATTCAAAAGAAAAGGAGTGAACACATCAGTTACCCAAAATGGAATTGCTGGGTAGAGGAGCTCCCTAGGGTTCAACCCCCCAGCAGACAACTAGGCGAGTACAACGAAACTTTATAAATTACTAAATATAATTTCAATACAACAATAAACTGCATCAGTATAATAGTGTAACCTGGCGGCAACACCCGCAGTGTAACCTGGCGGCAACACCCGCAGTGTAACCTGGCGGCAACACCCGCAGTGTAACCTGGCGGCAACACCCGCAGTGTAACCTGGCGGCAACACCCGCAGTGTAACCTGGCGGCAACACCCGCAGTGTAACCTGGCGGCAGCACCCGCAGTGTAACCTGGCGGCAACACCCGCAGTGTAACCTGGCGGCAACACCCGCAGTGTAACCTGGCGGCAAACACCCGCAGTGTAACCTGGCGGCAACACCCGCAGTGTAACCTGGCGGCAACACCCGCAGTGTAACCTGGCGGCAACACCCGAGTGTAACCTGGCGGCAACACCCGCAGTGTAACCTGGCGGCAACACCCGCAGTGTAACCTGGCGGCCAACACCCGCAGTGTAACCTGGCGGCAACACCCGCAGTGTTAACCTGGCGGCAACACCCGCAGTGTAACCTGGCGGCAACACCCGCCAGTGTAACCTGGCGGCAACACCCGCAGTGTAAACCTGGCGGCAACACCCGCAGTGTAACCTGGCGGGCAACACCCGCAGTGTAACCTGGAGGCAACACCCGCAGTGTAACCTGGCGGCAACACCCGCAGTGTAACCTGGCGGCAACACCCGCAGTGTAACCTGGCGGCAACACCCGCAGTGTAACCTGGCGGCAACACCCGCAGTGTAACCTGGCGGCAACACCGCAGTGTAACCTGGCGGCAACACCCGCAGTGTAACCTGGCGGCAACACCGCAGTGTAACCTGGCGGCAACACCCGCAGTGTAACCTGTCGGCAACACCCGCAGTGTAACCTGGCAGCAACACTCGCAGTGTAACCTGGCGGCAACACCCGCAGTGTAACCTGGCAGCAACACCCGCAGTGTAACCTGGCGGCAACACTCGCAGTGTAACCTGGCAGCAACACTCGCAGTGTAACCTGGCGGCAACACCCGCAGTGTAACCTGGCGGCAACACCCGCAGTGTAACCTGGCGGCAACACTCGCAGTGTAACCTGGCGGCAACACCCGCAGTGTAACCTGGCGGCAACACCGCAGTGTAACCTGGCGGCAAACCCCGCAGTGTAACCTGGCGGCAACACTCGCAGTGTAACCTGGCGGCAACACCCGCAGTGTAACC